TGCTCAAAGGACAAATAAATACTTCATTCAAGTGAACATATTATAAGGGAAATTAAAATTTTTGTATTTTAAATTTTCGTATTTATCCAATTTCCTATTATAAATTTGTTTCTAGTTTGAATTTTAGAATAGGAAATATCCTTTCATTTGAATTTGAATTATAAAACTACCCTAATCAAATCTTTTACACTTTGTATTTATACTCATTATTATTCAATAGAAAGGATATGCCATATTTTCCAAACTCAAAGAGTATCAGAAATAATAATAATGGGGAGCAAAAGATGCATCAATACAAGTATCAATAGGTGACTTGAACTTTCATCCAAAAGGACCCAATGATTTTGAGCAAGATCAATCGGCTTTACGTGAAAGTTTTGGATAATTGTTTTCTTTGGACGACAATTGACAGTGTCGTGTCTTTAATATATATGTGGTGATTAAACAATCTACAGTATTACCCCATCCGATAAGAATGGGCAACACAATGCATCTTCGAGTGTTTTTCACAGCAATAATGCCGGCAAGAATGTACAACACTTTTCTCTTGTCTTTTTTTTTCTTTTCTTTTTTCTGGATTAGAATAGAATGCGTAACACATTGCTTGTTGCTTTCTTCTGTAGAATATGCTTGTTACCCTTTAATATGTCTCTTTTTGAATTTTTAAGTGATTTATTTTTATACATATTGTTTCTTTTATGTTGTTATTCATATATTTTACCTTATAAAAACTTCAATTACAACTCAATACGTACATCACACATGTCTAAACTAGTACTTCACTAAAAGCAACTTTACCAACGACAACTCCAACTTTCGTGCAGAGAAAATATATCGAAAGATTACGATCTGGAAAGGGTTCATCGACTCAATTGGTAAACATAATTTAGAGCATCTAATTTGCGTTTATATATAAATACATTATATGTGTGTGTGTATATATTTCTTTTTTTTTTTTTTTTTTTCCTTTTACGGCAGTGAATATGGTGGATGGCGCCAGAAGAAACACAAATTATATTGAGATACTAAATATATATAAATATATATATATATATATATGTCATTTAGTCGTGAGAGATTGTCGTACAATACCCTTTGAAGTTTGCACTTTAATTGAAATCCGAGATGAGCATTAATTGAACATTTATCAACACCTATTTAGTGCCTAATTGGAACCCAAAAAATAGTTGTCAAACCATAGAAAAAGTGGAAACTGAAATTTTACAAAAGAAAAAAAAATAAATGAGCACTAGGGTAACATTTGTTTCAAGAATTTTGTGTGGTTCAAATCATGGTTCTTAATGCTGCTACAATGTTTTTCTCTTAAAAAAAATTAATTCAAAAATCGAAATCATGAACCATAATTTGAATTCATGAATCAAACAGATCATGAACCATTTTCAGTCGTACTTAATGCAGACTAAATATGATTAATTAACAGTTTTGAAACTAATTAACATCATCATATATACAATTTTTGCACACTATTAAGTACTTAATATCGATACCCGGCCTAAATTGTTTAACCTGAACACGATACAAGACTCATGGCTTTTAAATATATATTTTATATTATATATTTTAAGAAAAATGAGACAAATATCCCGTAGAGTGTATGTGTCAAGATTTTAACCTTTTATGATTGTTGTTCTTTTGATCGTATGCTCTTATTTGCTTGATTTTGATACATGATATCATATTTTAGCATGTTATAATTTTTTTATTTTTTATTTTTATAATGTACTTAAAAATATCAACAAAAGTTTATGGTTTAAGTGACAATCAACGAGTAAATTTTATGTCGAGTCAACCTCTAAAGTGACCATATCGTATTTATGATGTAATTTAAAAAAAAAGAAAAAAAAATAGAGTCGTGTTCAGATTTAACAAAAATTTAGAAAGATACAACTAAAATACGATACTAATACAATACTTAACACAAATTGCCGCTCCTACAATCACATGTGAGTTCGGATAAATTAGTTTCCTAGGACGACAATTAATAGTGTCGTTTTCTTAAAATATGGTTTTTAGGCACTTCATTGCCTTCCCTCAGGTTACAATGTGCAACAGATTGCACCTCGCACCTTGTAGGGTCTTTCACAACAAATTTTCCGGCAAGAATGTACTACACTTCTTTCTTTTTTGTTGATATAAAAATGTGCAACACATTGCATGCTGCTTCCTTCTCCTTCACCGCAATCTTTCATCATACGTCATTAAAAAAGAAAAAAAAAAGTGCTTGAATATAATGCTTTCTGAATAGATATATTTTTCATACTATCTTAAATTGACGATTCTTACTTGCTTCTTCTTCTTCTTCTTCGCTTTTTTTTTTTTTTTTTTTTTTTTTTTTTTTCTTTTTTTTTTTTTTTTTTTTTTTTT